AAAATCCTGAATGGTCTTGAAGTGGTGAAAGCTCCGAAGACCCTGAAAACCACCTGTTTAGACAGGCTGCATCCTCAAGTGGTGAGGGGTGGTTTTCATGGTCTTCGGACCTTTCACCACTTCATGAACATTCAGGATTTTCAGACTGCCCAAAACTCTCACTTGACCACTTCAGGTGACCGTTCACCACTTCAAGATGCAGCCTGCCTAAACAGGTGGTTTTCAGGGTCTTCGGACCTTTCACCACTTCAGAACCATTCAGGATTTTTAGACTGCCCAAAACTCTCACTTCAGAATTTTCATTCCTGAATTTTCAGCTACCCGATAACCGCTTGTGCCCTCATGACACCACTTGGGTAAACACAACCACCCCCACCGCTCATCACAAAAGATACGTTAGACCTGCAGCCACCCACGTACTTCAACACCCTCAACATCCTAACTTTCGCCAAAACCCGATCATCCTTTGAAAAACAATTCAGATCAGCATCATGCTGCTCGCAGCCTGGGGTTCTCCTGCAGCACCCTTACTGAACCAATGACCCAGCGCTGTACGTATCCGCACAGAGACGCCGGATACTCATTCCCATATGGCACATATCCCATTTCGGATAGCACCCGCCCTCGTGAATGGAAGAGTTAACCCTCACTGAAAGGACGGTCAAACACAACACAGGGGAGGACACCGATCAGCTGCACTCACACTCGAGGGTCCTCAGCGCCCTAACCCTCGCTGAAGCCCGATCAACTTTTTGAAAAAAAACGGTTAGTACAACATCATCCTTGTTAAGAACGTACTCGTGTCGAAGTATTACACTTCTCCCTAATCAAGCCCTTCCCGACAACCACCTCCCACTCTCACTCCCCACTCATTGCCAAAGATATATAGGATAACCAGTTCCTCACACGCCCATCACCAAGCATAACCCTCCCAGAGGAGATACCCCATGAGAATCACGTCATCCAGGGAACAACACCTAACCCGAGGGGGAGGGGCATCGCCATGTTAGGCACACTATCACCAATATGAGAAAACCAAATCAATGGAGAGCCAAACAGAGTGCTACTGCAATCAAACTGAACACACATGGGAGGGGGACGCACTCGTGCCAAGGAAGGGAGCAAACCAGCCATATGGCGAGGCATATAACTCCGACAGAGAGAAGGGAGAGAAGAATGGCGAGGACGAGGGAAATCTAGAAGGCGATGGTGAGTAGAGACGGAAAAACCCAAGGAAACGCCAGGAGGTCCATTAGGACAAGAATCGCCTCTACTGTTCACTAAGAGCCGCTGCGCACAAGGAGAGCAAGGAGAGCACTAGGCCCTACACCACCTCGATCTAAAGGGAGTAGACGCGTTACGACAACCTCCACCAAGCTGAGCCGCCCGGATTGCTTATAGATCCAGAAACGACAGAAAGGCTAAATACGCCATAAACGCAATCAAGAAGATGAGGGTCATGTGGGCAGCAGCCAGCAGTTCCATCTCTTAACCTCCCTCACCTTAAAGCTTCTAGAATTCCAATTGTGACGCGTATAAAAGAACCTACGAAGGACGTCAACAGAAACGCACAATCGCATACAATCACGACAAAGATGAAAAAACGGGAAGGGGGACAGTTACGGTTAGTGGGTAACTTTTTACAATCATGGGGAAAAAAAAGGGGGG